GCACGGCACCCTACCAACTGGTCTCTTGCAATGTACCAAATATGATTGTAATCGACACAGTCGTTCTTCAGATGTGGGAGCGGCACCTTGCACGTGCGCACGTGCAATATGGGTCCCAACTGACTTTGGTAAGGCAACCTTCTCGCCGGCCTCTACTCGTGTGACAAATTTGAGCGCAATCGGTCCAGCCGTTCTCGAGATCTGGAGGCGACCCCTGCACGTGCGCACGTGCATTACCTCACCTTCATCGACTTAGAAAAATTCATGCACATTCAGTATCCAATCACACACTAAATGTCATTGCAATCGGTCAGTCCGTTTCTGAGATATGACAGAGGGGTGTCACTCGTGAGCACGTGAGCACGCGCAAAGCTACAACCTCCCCGGTCACCGGTGCACGGCACTCTACTTACTGGTCTCTTGCGAGGTGCCAAATTTGAGCGCAGTCGGCCCAGCCGTTTTCGAGATCTGGAAGCGGCACCCTGCACGTGCGCACGTGCAATATGGGTCCCAACTGACTTTTGCACGGCACTCTTCTCACCGGTCTCTAATCGCGTACCAAATTTGAGCGCAATCGGTCCAGCCGTTCTCGAGATCTGGAAGCGACCCCTGCACGTGCGCACGTGCAATAGCACCCCAACCATGACATACGGATATGCATTGCCCGGTGGGTGCCTACTGCCTACATGAATGCCAAGTCTCAGCGAAATCGCCCCAGTAGTTGCTGAATTACTGTAATGGGAACAAATTTAACACCTCTTCTGTTTTTTTGCACTTTGCACGTGCAGCGGGGGTCACTCACGTGCACCAAGAGTATCCAATGTTTGTTAGAAGGGATACAGCTACTCTACAAAAGTTTCCGCAAGTCAATCGCCCCAGTGGTTACTGAGATATAGGCCTCTCAAAATTGTTACTCCAGCAGAACGACTTGAGCACCCCGACTTTTCACGTGCCACGTGCCACGACGGTCACCTTGAATGCATCACGATAAGTGAATTGCGGGGCAGAAAGGATGGAGCTACCCAACAAAAAAGACCGCAGGCGAATCGGCCCAGCGATTGCTGAGATATCAGCCTCTCAAAATACTGATTAAAAATCCGTCATTAAAAATAAGAGGCCAAAGTGGCCTCTTGTTTTTCGCGCCAAAAACGAGTGTCCAATCCAGGTAGTTCATGTTATCTATGATATAAGCTACATTCAAAGTTTCATTGTAGTCTGGCTAATCGTTCCTAAGCTTCAGAAGCAGAACATACCCATGACTGAAACCCCACATTACTTCTGCTGTGGACTGTACCACAGGCCTGCCAGGGTCCAGGGGCACCACAGGCCTAGCAAGGGCACCACGGGCCTGTCAGGGGCACCTCAGGCTCCCGTGCCCCCCCCCCCCCCCCAGATCCGCCAGTGATGCCACACCACGCGAAACACCGCCAACTACCAGCTGCCGCGCCATAAACACGTGCCAACAACAGTCTTTTTTTTAAGGTCGACTCCGCTCGCGCAACTTTTGACTGACCCTCACTGCTACTACATTGAAGCGATTGTGGCGCACCGCGCCATTATTGTCCTGAGGCCCCCTTATGATGTCATCAAAAGTGGAGTGACATGGGCCATGGGCCTGCTGTGGCCTGCCAGTTGAGCGTAAAGAGGACGACCGCCTGGTTCATCGTGGCAAAGTGGACGCGTACCGGGGAGTTTGCTGCACGGAGGAGAGGGGGCAACCGACCGAGGAAGCTGGATGACATGATCGACTTCTACCTGATGCTGATTGACGACGACCCGAACAACCGGCGCCTGTCTGGCCAGAGAGGACACCTGGGCCGGGTGACCGCACCTGCGCGGCGACCATTGACCGCTGTGGAGCGTTCAGTTGTGTGCATTTATTTTGCTGCCTGTGTTCATTGTTATTGCAGTGTTACGTTTATGTGGCATGGCCATTGGCCATACACAAATGAAATTTTGTTGATCATGTTGCATTTTTTTTTTTTTTACCAGAGGCATTTGAAGCTGATGAGCCATTACTGTGGATTGAAATGATTCGTTAGCTGCATATATTTATTTGTTTAATAAAATGTACTTGTATTAAAACCAAATTGTGTTGTATTGTGCAGTGTGACTAATTAGCAATTCTATGGTGTTTCATGCACGTGTTACCAATGCATTATCTGCGAATATTTGTAGAGACAGGCCGCAAGTTCAATCAAACCAAATACAGTTATGGGTATATCGATTATGAATGCTCAGCTCATACATATTGATTATGTATACGATGAAGTTGGATAAAATCGTAAACGAAATTAAAATACCTTTGTCAAAATTGATCCACGCCCGTCTATATCAGATGGACGTTGTCATATTCAGTGCACTATGTCTAAATCCACTGAACAGTGTCGAAGTTGCGCACACTGCCTATTTTCAATGCCCCTTATCGTGAAGGCGCGTTGTGTCGATGAGAGGCGCACAATGTCGAAAGAGCACGCCTGTTGCCGGCTTAAATGAAAGAAGGCTATATGACCTGCACAGATGCCGACTCGCAATGAAAAAAGGTGTAGTGCTGACCTAGGGCCAAAGTTAGGTCTCACGAAGCTGATTGAATGAGGCATGCCATTCGTTTCGGCAGGGTTTTCCGAGTCCTTGATAGCTCTCCCGACCCGCTAGCTCAATATCCCGCGAGTTGCTGGGGGGGGGGGGGGCGTTAAACGCCCCCACTTTTTTCGCCGGGCCATAGCATAAAAACGGCGCGTCGCAGGCGCGCCAAATTTTGGGTACCTGTAGGGAATTGATTGAAGTTTATTGTTACAACGTTTCAAAAAAATCGGTCGGAATTTTTTTGAGATATCGAGGTGTTAGTGACGTCATGATTTCTGAGTTTTCGACCAAAAACGGCATATGTTCAAAAAATCATATAAAATCACAGAATAGACATACAGACATGCCCTAAACGCCATTAGACTGCTAATACCAGGAACAATCAAATGACTATCTTCGATTATTGATTATCGTTACGCATTTTGCAAAATCGTGAGCTGAATCTTGGCAATTTCTCGTGACTACTTTAGGACCATTATACATGCATTTCTTAAATTGAACTTTTTTTAGCCAAACACGTACACATATGATACAATGAATGTGACCATCGTGTTCTACGTCCCATATTACCCATTAAACATGTGTCACAGGCTGCGAATATCAATTTTGATTTTCGGGGATATTTGCCTGCCCGGTTGACCTGACCTTGACCCTGACCTATGCTTGACTGACCCCTACATGGAGGTGACACTCTTGTAGGCCTTATATGACGGATTGTGCACCGTTTTGACAGAGTTTATGACGAGAGGCGCCCATTGCGAAGTCCTAAAGTCCATGCTACTGAAAGCCCGATTTCAGGTGTTTGACCTGACCTTGACCCGACCTGTGACCTAAAAATTCAACTTTGAAGTACTCATCTGAAGCGTCTCGTCGCGTTCTTTCGTTTGCCGCCTCGTGCGTTTCGCTGCGCCTATCGGTTCTCGAGTTATCGGCTGGGGGCGTTTAACGCCCCCCCCCCCCCAGCAAACGGTGGGTGGCGAAATACCCCAGCAACTGCCGGGATATGATCGGGAGGTATTGACGAATAACTCTTATGGCACTAGTGACGTCATAAATGACGTCACGCAAGGTCAACAATGCAAGAGTGAAGCATCGAGCCTTGCAAGGAGTGCATGAAATCACGATTCTGTGTGCTTGAGATAGTTTAGGATCATTATCTGCGCCGGTGAGGTCACGTGACCGACCTGACCTCATGTGACCTTAATGAAAAATCTGAGATGTGAAAGCTGTAAGATCTCTAGGGGTTGCAAGTTTAGGTCTAGGTCCTGCAAGTTTCATCTTCCTTTGAAAATGCACTGAGGGCGTTGCGAACCTGAGAGATTTCAGGACCGTGAAGTGGTTCACTTATGACGTCATAGATCAGTGACCTAAACGAACCTAAATAAGCAGTTGGTTTTTCAAAATCTGGCTAGAGTCCAAGGTCAGGTATACCAAGTTTCAGCTCTCTATTGGCGGCGTGTTCGGAGTTACCAAAACTTTTTTTTTTGGGGGGGGGGCGCAACCCCTCCCCGTTATTGGCCGGAGAAAGTAAATTATTGTTTTTAGCTATGTGTTAGATGTCATAGCTACATAGCTTAGATGTCATAGCTACCTGAGAGATTTCAGGACCGTGAAGTGGTTCCGATTTGATGTGAACAGTGAAGACGAGCCGGCCGTTATGCGCTTATCTAGCTGGCCGGCGGGTCTGACAGTCCGTCGGTGGACAATGAAGCCCCGCCGCCTGCGCGACCCTATGGGTATACCTGACCTTGGTCGGGCCTCTGATTCGAACGCGCGACGACCCTATCCGATGGCACCGTCCGGCCACCAGTCAGGAGCCGCTCCAGTACCGTCCTCTCGCTTGTGCCTCCAGGGAGAGAGCCCCAGGGAGACACCGGTTGGTCACGTGACTCGGAAACAAAAATCAGCTGATAGAGTGGCGGAATCCCCGTAATCAAACACAAATAATTCCGGACGATAGAGCGGCAGTATAGGAGTCTTCTTCACAACAGGCAAACATCGCCACGTTTTTCATTCAATGATCAAGAAACGTTCATAAATTATATATTTTTTCGACGATTACCGCCGCAACCGACGCGCACATATCGTTACCAGAGGGGTGTTCACGGGCACCGCACACTGCTGCGTGCGCTGTGTGCGGTGCGTCCAGCAGGCGTGGGGGTAGGGGATGGGTAGGCGGCTCTGACGTCACGGCTGCGTGCGGTGGACGGTCCGCTGTGGCCAGTCCCGACCGGCCACAGCGATCGCTGTGTGCGGTGACGGAAGGCTGACGTAGGGACGCAGTGGGCGGAGCTTCGAGGCTGTGTGCGGTCCGACCGCACACAGGGCCCGTGAACAGCCCTCAGCTGTGCTTTGCGATATTATTTGTAAAGAAACGGCCAATACCTACTAAATTATGTGCAACAAAGCTCGAAAAAGATAGCATTCTATATTGCTTCAACCTTCTACTTACGCTTTTATAATTACGACAGCGACACCATACGGCCTATCGACGCTATGCAACTCCGTGGAGCGTCCAGCCGCACTCTGCAGAGTGTGCCGAGATCGGAGGCGGACCATCCGCGGCACGTCCACCTGCGCTGCCCGGCCGCTGGAAGGGCGACGCCGACGCCTAGCTCGTCTGGATACCATCCACTCAACTGTTACACAGATGCAAAAAGACCGCCCGCTGCGCACACAACTAAGCTACTTGGCTACGCCCTCTCGGGGAGGGGAGGGAGGAGCAACAACCGTCAACAGTCTGAACTCTGATGAGCCAATGGAGTCTGTGAGCCGCGCCAATCAGCGCTGTTCCGCGAGTAGACGGGAGCTCTATTTTCGCTGGTCCGTCAGTCACCAGCATCGTTCCGTGCTCTCGATGGTAGCTATTCGGCCGTGTTTTCGTGTGTAGGTCAGCAAAAACAGTGAGAGAGATTCTCGGATCGCGCCAGTCGGTCGCAAGGGTATCAATTGTCTATGTACTTTCCAGTATTGCAAACGTTATTGTTAGGACCCGAGGGTAATCAGCAGTCGACGCATTTGTTGTAATAATAAAATTGAAAATATAGCGAGGTATATTCACTTAAATTCACATATCACCTTTGATTTTTTGCACGCGCGGACTTCTTGTCCCCGCAGCTACAGCACACAGCCGATCTCCATGTTTCTGTTTCAGAGCTGCAGTGGACACGGCAAAAATACACTTATGTTCTGACAGCTTAATCCAAAAGTACACAGATTTCACGACGAACTACCACATTCATATAATTTTCTTGCTCACAGGTGCTCAGCAATAAGCGCGCGACTGATTGCAGCTAGTGCACTCACGATTATTAATTCGCGCTCGCCAAACCTGCCATTTACATCCACCACCAATACCATCAGCATCTGTCCAATTAAGTACCTATTACCATATCGAGCCAGAATGAGACCACGACATATTATCGTCCTATTACATAGCACAAATTCCGGGATGGGTGGGGGTGGGGGTGGGGGAATCCTCCAATCACAACCAACATCGTTTTGGGACGGGGAGTCGAAGCCGGGGCTCGTATCGACGTATCCTTCACATATCTGGGCGTCTCACTCCTTTCGACACTTAATCAACCCTGGCACACCATCCACCGAGCCAGGTCGGCTCCGACCATCTTGAGTTCCATACTGAAATCTGATAACTGACCGTCATTTGTTCCTATCAGTCAGCGCGCACTATGCCTTAGCACAGCAAGTGCACTGTGCAGCCTTCTTTGGACACCGCCTCGGAGCAGGGCGCTGGTCCTGGGTGCCCGGCGCCCTTTGTTCGTGTACGGCTAGCAGCATTTTCGGGGTCGGATGGTTTCCGCAGTGGCGGCGCTGGTCACCGTGGAGCCGTCGGACGACACCGTCAGATGAAGCGCCCGCAACTGGTGACCTGTGGCCACAGCGACACGTCAGGTCTCACGTCAGGTCTCACGACGACCGTCACGTTTCAGTCGCGACGGCCGTTATATAAACAATCACGGCGGCCGTCACATACCAGGCACAGTGACCGTTACACACGATCCAAGGCGACCGTCAATTAGCAGTCACGGCGACGTCACAGGTTGCGACGGTCCTCAAATTTCCGCCACGGCGACGATAACTCATAGCTCATAGCGTTTCCTGTCGCACACTTAGCCATCGCCCATAATTGCAATACATTAGCCTGTTTATACGTTTCTCACTCAAAAGTCGAGGTCCGAGTCTGAGACCCATCATACGTCACGACCCCTGCAACGGCATCTGCATTAGCAGACATCCCGTCCCGGCAACACACAAAGTTCTCTCCACTCTCCAGCCACTCACCTATGGACTGGGGGGCGAAGTAATCTTGGGGGTGGCATAGCCAGGACGTGTCGTCGAGCTGCCGTCAGCGGGCGTGCCACGAATGGCCGGCGGACCTCCGTCGGCTGGCGGGCCACCATCAGCCGGAATGCCGTGGTCAGCCGACGGGCCGGCGTCGGTCGGCGAGCCACCATCAGCCGGCTGGCGGACCACTGTTGGCCACTGAGCCAGCGTCCGTCGCCGGGCCTCCGTCCACTGGCGGGCAGTCTGAATAACAAGAAATAGTTGAATTAGTTACTCTAGTGTTCACTGTTCAAGTTCATAAAGTACAAGTCTCAGCAAACCTAATTCTATTCATATACACCGTATATCTATTTCATTATACATTGCTGTACAACTGTTTTTAGAATAATATTAGTCTTAAACTGTTAACAAGTGAAAATGCCTTTTGTGTTCAGTTAGGCCTGTTGAGACCATTGCAGAAATGCAGACCATTGTGGAGCTGGAAGGAAGATAGGGAATTAGCTGCTGTGCTCCAGTGGCAGTGCTTCTGGCTACAGGTCAGGACATCCACACTTACAAAAAGGGCCTGAGTTGGATCTTGGACCCCTGTCAGTGTGGTCTCCCTCTTGATGTAATTGGCTGAGGAGAATCAAAGTGATGTTAGGAGTTAGGACTGCAACTTATCACAGTTATGAGCAGGCTTTGGGTTAGGTTAGGTTTGGTTTGGTTAAGTTACAAATTAAAATTAACGGCACTAGTAGAGCAGATGTCAAATGAAGGCGCTTATGCTTACCAAGTAGATAAATAGACAAAGAGAGCAGGATGCTCATAGGAAGGGTTTCCAACCAAGGAGAGGCACAGCTGTAGGTTTGTAGGTTGTAGGGTTTTAGGTTGTATGCTGACTTGTAGGTTAGATTATGTCAGGTAAGGTTTGGTTTGGTGTTAAAAAGAAGCATCTCTGGAAGCAAGAAGCATAAGAGCACTTCTCCTCAGTTGTAAAACCTCTGTGTAACATCTGCTCTACTAATACCCAAATATCTTGGTCACCAGTGACAAATTCCAATCTCAAATGAGCTGGCCAGTTCACAATTTGTAGGATCATGTTTTGTCTGTCAGTCAACAAAAAATATTGTGGTTATGAGCAGTTCTTCGATGATTGTGGAGGGTTCAAATGTGGACATGTCGGAAATATAGTCTAAATATTGATCATCACTCCTTATATGGTCATCACTCAGCCCATTTGGGTGACGTCATATTCTTATATTAGATTAATCTTATTTTAGATTACCTCCCTGCAGCTTGCCCGACTGATACCTATATGCTGACGGTGACCCCAGCTTTACCGTTACCCAGATTTCCAGCTTAATTGACAATGACTGGTACAGAATTGTCAAACTCAATGATGCATTTTGCTAGCCCTTTCGCCAAGAATTGTAGTCTGTTTCATTGTCATACTCACGTCTCCCCATCAGCATGACATTGCTTGGCGTACTCCATACAGCCTCGGCAAATGAACCCTTTCAACCTCTTTGTTTTGCAAAAATGCCCAACACGTGCATCATCCATTTGGGCACAGACTTACTTCCTTAAATGGAAATCAAGGCTTCATACAAGCCAGGGGAGGCGAAGTTTGCCATCCTGTGTTGCCGATGATTCGGGCATGAGCACTGTCTTGGTCTTGGTCAGTGGTCTTCCTGGTGGCATTGTAGCCTATGAAAATATCTATAAAAAAAACACCAAAGAATACTGACACCAGGCCAATCCAATACTCCACAAATCTCCGATGCTCCACGCTCCACAAAATATATCCACAACTCCAAGACCCAGGCAGAAGTGAGAGAACCAAAATCAAATTTGAATTGAAATGTGCCTAATAAACAAATATACACAACACAGAAAGGTCGAAAACCAGGGATGTTCTCTATCATCACATGGAACACCGTGGCAGCCAATTGAATGCAAAAACGTGCGTCTGCTAGCGTCAGAACTATATTAGCAGCATTTGCAGTACACGAAACCGTGAGCAGCTGTGGGTGTAAAATCGTGGTCAGCAGTTTTTAACATCGAATTTCGTAATGTTCCCCCATTAGTCATGTTTTGAAACTTATAACATCAGATAGAAAATTAAATTCTGTTACATATAGTACCCTCAATAGATGCCGACTCGGTCTTATTTTTTAGTAATATGCCACTAACTGTTACAGTGTGACCTCAAACAGCAAGGAGGCTGATACATTATAGACCAAAAATATGTAACTTATAGCACCGAAACTGCAATAAAACATGCATACTTGGGAAGAAAATAAAATTTTCATTTTGATTAAGACCTTTTGCGAATCCATCACCACCATGTTTACCGAGCATCTATGTTTTTTGTTCGGAGTTGATTGGTACCCAAAATGCCAACTTTCGGATTCGGAAGCAAAATTGACAATGTTCCCCCATTAGATGAGCTTTGATACTTTGACACCTTATAATGTCAGCATTTCTGCATATTTTGGTGAACGTTTCAGACGCCGACTCGGTCTTGTTTTTGAAAACCATTACATCCAGTGAAACAGTGTGACCAAGATCACCAAAAGTGGTTTTACATTCAACATCGATTTATTCTAGTTTTGAGCATGAACAAATGAAATAACACATAAAATCGGAAAGATAATTCAATTTTGATATTGTTCAATCATGATTTACAACCTATACAACTGATTTTATTCGAGAATTTGTGGTAAAACGTTGGCTGGTCAGGTGGGCCCGCCATTTGCTGAGCTTGGTGGTTTCGAAATTGAATGAAACAGTATTGGCATTTGATAATACTTTTTTACTATTAATTTTAATTTTTCAGGATAAAAATATGATTTCATCAATAACAAACTCCTACAACCAAAGATATATTATTTTCGAAATGGCGTGGTCGGTCAAAAAATTATCTTCGCAAATACTTTACAGAGTTACGCTAGTCTTGCCCTGTGCACGTTTATTGCCAATTTATATATAAATAATAAAACACATAAAGATACGTGGCCTAGTTTCTTTTTTTGGACTGAGAAGGCCAGCTGAAAAAAGTGGTTAAAATACCTTAGTGTTGTGGCGGCAAACCGGTTTTACCTAGTTCTCTATATACCGTGGAGAGCCCTTCCAGTGACCGTGCAGACGCAAAAAGTGGGTCAACAATTTCGGGTACAGGACCAACTTCTGGGGTGGTAGCTGCCAACTTTGCGCGCGATGTCTCGCCGACGGCAGCCTTCTTGATAGAAGGCATCCATCCAGTAGCCTCTGACGAACAAGTTTGGAACCTGGTCCGGCCGCTGGTCGGACACCTCTACCAATGTCGGGAGGCGCAGACTGGGAGGATGCATGAAGACGCCAAAGCTTACCATATAGTGGTGAATGCTGCAGATGCCACTGCCGTACTCAACCCTGCCAACTGGCCGTCTGGCCTACGCACAGTGGCCCTTTTTCCGAATTAGCACGCATAAATTCAAAATATTTTTTCTCTTCTTTTGAGTAAAAAGCAGTCTAACCCGGCAGTTGCTGGGGTATTTCGCCACCCACCGTTTGCTGGGGGGGGGGGGGCGTTAAACGCCCCCAGCCGATAACTCGAGAACCAATAGGCGCAGTGAAACGCACGAGGCGGCAAACGAAAGAACGCGACGAGACGCTTCAGATGAGTACTTTAAAGTTGAATTTTGAGGTCGCAGGTGGGGTCAAGGTCAGGTCGAACACCTGAAATCGGGCTTTCAGTAGCATGGACTTCAGGACTTCGCAATTGGCGCCTCTCGTCATAAACTCTGTCAAAACGGTGCACAATCCATCATATAAGGCCTACAAGAGTGTCAGCTCCATGTAGAGGTCAGAGAGTCAAGCATAGGTCAGGGTCAAGGTCAGGTCAACCGGGTAGGCAAATATCTCCGAAAATCAAAACTGATATTCGCAGCCTGTGACACATGTTTTATGGGTAATTTGGGGCGTAGAACACGATGGTGACATTCATTTTATCATATGTGTACGTGTTTGGCTCAAAAAGTTAAATTTAAAAAATGCATGTATCATGGTGGTGAAGTAGTCACGAGAAATTGCCGAGATTCAGTTCAAGATTTTGGAAAATGCGGAACGATAATCAATTCGAAGATAGCCAATTGATTGTTCATGGTATTGGCAGTCTAATGGCGTTAACGACATGTCTGTATGTCTATTCTGTGATTTTATATGATTTTTTGAACATATGCCGTTTTTGGTCGAAAACTCAGAAATCATGACGTCACTTAAATCTCGATATCTCAAAAATTTTCCGATCGATTTTTTTGAAACTTTGTCACAATAAACTTCAATCAATTCTCTACAGGTACCCGAAATTTGGCGCGCCTGCGGCGCGCCGTTTTTATGCTATGGCCCGGCGAAAAAAGTGGGGGCGTTTAACGCCCCCCCCCCCCAGCAACTCGCGGGCTAATCGTGTGCAAAACATTCCAAACTATCCGATGGTGCCATTTTTACCTCCTAAAAAATAATGATCTTTGGTAAAACTGACCGCAAAATCGAAGTTTGTCGAGAGGCGCACGGACACCATCGGCGGACCCTAAAAAGTAGGGTGAGATGAACATCGATTTGTAAGGCTTTCGGTGAGAAAATATTAAAAATTAGTGGCATGGCTGTGAAGCTGAGTTTACGTAGAAGCCCTAGAAACCACAATTTTCATTGTTTAAACTTAAATAGACCACTTTTGCCGAATATTGTGGACACAATAACAGGACAATTATTAACTGGAGATGGCGGCATACATATGAAGCTTTATGTTAAGTAGCACACTCTGGAACATGTCGTATTATACATCGTTCGAATCGCCGATCTCTTCTGATCACGCCCACCAAAGGGCATCGCGCCATTTTGCGCCATTTTGCTTCTACGGTGGATAACGTGAGCCAGTTCAGTCCGCGAGCGGCTGTGGCTCCTGTTCGATACGACTAAGCTCATTGACCTGGCTCGAAGCTGGTGTCACCTGGTGTGCGCCTAAATGTGGCTTGACTTTTGCCATAAGATGTGCTAATTGAAATGTCATGTAGGCATAACGCTGTGCTCAAGAAAAACTGTCCGATTTCTTGTCGCGTTTGATGTCCAGGCCGCACAAGTCCCGTGGTCGGCTTAACCCGCGCACCGACGGGGGGGGGGCGGATATCCGCCCCCCCTGAGGTTTTTCGCGGATAGCGGGTAAACTACGCGCCGCGAAATTTGGTACGACTATTCTCTCATCAATTTTACACATGGTGTGCAAGTTTGAACCTCCTAACTTTTAAGGTCAGGTCACCAGGTCACTTTGAATGACCCAACCTCAAGTCACTTTTTTGCAACTTTGTCACCGTGCCAGAGCTACAATAGATGTCGGAGGCCTTTGAAGTCGCAGGATGTTATTAAGTCATTACTGTAGCTACAATTTGTTTATCTTGGAATTTTTATATCGGTGACCTAAGGTCAGGTCAATTTCGCGACCTCCCCATTATAAGTCAATGGGGAAAAATCAACTCCCTGTTTTTACCACTAAAACGGGTCGGAATGGCCCCATATACCATACATGACTTCATATATGATCAACCTTCACTACCTTGAGGTCTGTTTTGCTGTTGGGCAGCTGTAAGGTCATGTGACGTCATCAAAGGTCACCAAAGGTTTTTTTGCCAATAACTCCGTACAGGAACAAGATACAGCCGCGCGGATGGTCTCATTGTGTTCAGCTCGTCAAGACGCATCGATTGATATACATGATGACCTCGAGGTCACGTGACCTGAGGTCAACCTTTGACCTTGACCTTTCGAGGTCAAAATATATATCATTCGATGCGGATTGACGAGAGGATCACGATGGTGCCCTTAGTTTGTTCCTATCTTGACTAATTCGAAAGTTATTCGAGAAAAACTCTCACCATATCTAGCGCCGCCATTTTGAATTTTTCGACCCCTGTGACGTCATTTTTGACCTGACGCAAAAATTGTAGACCTTGTCCGTGCGTATCCGATGCCGTTTACCGCTTGTCGTTATCTTGCTTCGTTCTCGAGATCTCAGGGGGGGGGGGGGGGCGGTCATCCACCCCCCCGTCGGTGCGAAGTTGGCGCAGACCCCCGTCGGTGCGCGGGTTAACCCTAGAACGCCTAGGGGGGGGGGGGTTGTATCAACCCCCCCCTGAGGTTTTTTCGAAGTGCACGCTAAACGGCTTGTCGTAGCGGGCTGAAATTTTCAATACCCTCTGGGGCAACCTTTGCGCATCTTTTGCCGAAAAAAATTGATCGGGTCATTTCAGGTCACGGAGTTATGACGTCATAAGAGGTACAGCCTCCGGCCGACAGTTACCAAACGTGTGCGCCGAATCCCTAGGTTTTCTGCCGGTGATACCCACATTGTTTGATGGATCATGATGAAACTTCCCATGCATGTTGGGGCAAGCATTGGCTATCGTGTGGTGCAAGAAAATTGACCGGGTCAGGTCAGGTCACGGAGCTATGACGTCACAAGAGGAACAGCGTCCGGTACTATTTTTGAAAAGCGCCCGAACCACTATTTTGCTAATTCTTGTCACCTCAATGGGAATATGCAGCAATATTAGCTTCTATAGGGAGCAAATGGACCTCCCAAATCCAAAAAATACAATCAGATTTCAAAAATTTAAATTTTGATTTTTCGAATTTATGCCGCCGACTGTGACCTTCCGGCGCTCCCAACGCGCCATTTTTAGAGCTAGGGAAACGAAATACATACCAAACGATAGAGCGTACCGGGACGGCCCGGACCACTTCTGCGCCTGCCATCTATCGGGCAGTTCTTGGAACTACAGCGGGCGCCGGCCGGCCGGGCCGCGCGGCGCCGTTACGGGGCTATGGAGGCGAATGAAGTGGTGTAAAACCAGACGAATTTTACGCTTGTAAAGCAAAAAACTAAAAATGTACACTCACCACGGTGTTCAGGAAAGTACTGGGAACAATATGGATATAATTTAAAGCTAGTACGATGCGAACTGTTGGTTCCCTAGAGCAGTATTTAGGTACATACTTGTCGGAGATAGGACTTTAACATTACCGGGGCTTCCAAACTGCGCTCGCAAAGTACTTGATTGTAAATATTTGCATTTAGAGGCAAAAATCTAAAAATGTACAGTCAGAGCGTTGTTCCCAATACTTCTAGGTACATAATGAGCATAAATTCAGCTTGAAGTGTCATCACACATTGGTTCCCAGTCCAGTTTAAAGCGACACTTTGTGCCGCAGAGCCTATCTCTTCCAGTGGATGGCGGCTGGCTGGCGGTTGTAGTGGTGGACAAGACAATTCTTGAGTGAAATGAAATCGTTTTCTTTCATAGAAGAATTTTGAAGAACTCGTAATAATTGACAAATGACCATTAATTACAGTGTATAATTTAAAGTTCATGGCAAATGACAAACTTTTAAACAATGATTGTGAACCCCAGTACCGCTGCGCGAGTAAGCAAGTACTCGACGCACGGTCTGCCCGTCACTTCTGAAAATGGTCCGCGGCCGGCCGGCCGCGACCCGACACGGAATTGATCAAGGAACACGATAGTGAAGGTTTCAAGTCGATATCTCCCACCGTTTTGCCGCAATCGCCGCGGAAAGTTGAAAAAGTTCGATTTTTTTTCGGAAATTTTGACCTTTGACCGGTCATAAGTAGGTCAAATGTTGACCTAGGACCAAAAAATATACCACCAATCGCGAGATCTCGTTGAGAGCAATCCGGTGGTTTTTTCCGCTAAGCTCTACGACCTTCCGTTTCGAAACGCCAGGGGGGGTCGTAACAACCCCCCCCCCCCTGGTCGTTCGTGTTATGAGAAATGGGCTGGTCGTG